AGTGTGCATGTGTGGAATGTCTGAGGGACAGTGAACTGGCCCCCTGTTTAAAAAGTTTGAGGACCTCTGGCATAAAGCTTTTGAGGGTCATCCATGTGGTGTGTGTACCAGTATCTGTAGTTCCGTATTTATTGCTGTTCCACTCTGCCATACCCCAGCATCTGTTTTCCATTCTCCCATCGATGGACCCCTGGACCAGTCTGGGGCTATTATGAGTAAAGCTGCTGAGAGCGCTTGGCTTCAGTCTTTTGTTTGTTTGTTTTTTGTTAATCCTCACCCGAGGATGTTTTCCCATTGGTTTTTAGGAAGAGTGGAAGAGAGAGGGAAAGACAGTAAGAAACATCGATGTGAGAGAAATACATTGACTGGTTGCCTCCTGCACGAGCCCCGACCAAGGCCCGGGCCGGGGAGGAGTCTGCAACCAAGGTACATGCCCTTGATCAGAATTGAACCAGGACCCTCTGGTCTGCAGGCCAATGCTCTATCCACTGAGCCAAACCAGCTAGGGCGTCTTCAGGTCTTTTAGTGGACATCTGCTTTCCTTTTTTCTTGGGTATACACATAGGCATGGAATTGGCTAGGCCAGAGGGCAAGCGTATGTTAAGGTTTATAAAAACCCGCCTTTTCCCCAAGTGGTTGTGTCAGTGTGCATTCTCCCCAGAAATGTACGAGAGTCCTCATTACATCCACCCTCCACCAAGTGATGGTGGCAGGCTTTGTAATGTTAGCCATGCTGGTGGTTGGGACGTGGTATCTCATTGTGGTTTCAATTTGCATTCCCTTATAACTAATGAGGTGAGCGCTCTTTCACCTGCTTTTTGGCCATTTGTATGTCTTCTTCTTTGAGGGCTCTTCCAATCTTTTGCTCATTTTATAAATTAACTTGAGGCCTGGTGCATGAATTTGTGCACAGATGGCATCCAGTCTGCCTGCCCCAATTTGGCCGATCAGGCTGGGCCAGCTGTGGGGAAGGGATGCGGGAGATTGGCCAGCTGGCCCCGCCCCCTGGTCAAACTCCTGGTCAAACTCCCAGTCGAGGGGACAATTTGCATATTAGCCTTTTATTATATAGGATTTGCTTGTTCTCTGTTGCATGCATGCTTTGCAAATATTTTCTCCCCGCCTGTGGTTTGAGTATTCATTTTCTGAATAAGGTGTTTTGATGGGCACAAGTTTACATTGCGATGCATCTGATTTATCCGTCTTTTTTTGTATGGTTCTTGCTTTTTGGGTCCAATGCAATAAACCTTTGCCCGCCCATTGGAGAGAATGTTGGAGGGGGTCATAGAGAACCTGTAGGAGCCCCAGGTGGGGACTTGCCGCTTTTGCTGGGTGATGAAGAACAGCCTTTGTGGGGGAGTCTACAGGGAGGTGCTGTTCAGAAAGGGATGCCTGCAGTATGAGGAGACCGGACTGATTGCTTAGGCAGTGGGCGCCATTGACGGCTTCAGAGCAGGGGAGGACATGATCGCAAGAGAGGGATGGCACAGTCCCGGGATGCTAGAGCCTGGGGCAGAGTTTCTTCTTGGTCACCTTGAAAGCAGGGCGTGTCCGCCTGTGAGGGAGCTGGAGGCAGGGGTGCAGGTTCATCTCTGTGGCTCCCTGAAGACTCTCCGGGGACCCAGAAGCCACCCAGTCCCCACTAGGACTTAATGGGCCCATTTCTTGTCAAAAATCCTGGGGGTTGGCGTGGGCCAGTTGTTAAAAGGCAGCTCAGGGAAGGTGTCCACGTACATGGGTTTATTTATTTTGTTAATCCTCACCTGAGGGTATGTTTCCATTGTTTTCTAGAGAGAGTGGAAGGAAGCAGGAGAGACACAGAGAGAGAAACATCAATGTGAGAGAGACACATCAATTGGTTGCCTCCTGCACACACCTGACCAGGGCTGGGGTTCAAGCCTGCCCTTGGCTGGAATCAAACCCGGGATCCTTCCATCCGAGGGCCAACGCTCTATCCACTGAGCCAAACCAGTTAGGGCTCCATGTGCATGGGTTTAGAGCCAACTCTCCCAGAATCCTTACAAGGACCCCTGCCCTTCCCCACGCTGACTTCGCCCCCTCCCTAGCTCCTGCCACCTCCCTGGCTTCCTTGCAGTTTTTTCTAGACCAGATAACATAAGCCCTGTGTCTGGAGTCTCTTCCCCTCGCCAGCACTGGTCGTCATCTGACATAGGCTAGGTCCCTCACTGTCCCAGTCTATCGCCACCCCTCCCACGCCCCAGGAAGTGGCTCCATCCTGGCTCATCCCTCCCCGGCCTCTCCCCACAGCAAATGCCAACCCTGATCACTGGTGCCCCTGGGCAGCAGCACAGGAACTCACAGGGCAAAGAGCCACGTCTTCCTGGCTCTATAACTAGGTTTTGGTATGTGTGTGTTTTTTTAATCATTTTGTTCTCTGCTCTAACCCAGCACCTAGACCAACATCTGCCACTTGCAGGCCCTCAGAAAATATTCGTAGTATGAATGAATGCAAGGCAAACCCCTCATTTCTCCCAGGGGTCACCCAGGGCCACTCAGCCAATGGAGGAGTCTTCCAGGCCACCCCCTGCCCATTGCACTGATGTGGAGATTGAGACCCTGAGGGGGACCGGACTTGCCTAGTTTGTGGCAGAGCAGAAAGGAGCCTATAGCTCTCGCCCCGGCTGCTGTTAGAGTCCTCATTGCTCCCCAGGGAGGCCCTGGGCCAAGGGAGGAGATTTGAGGATGATCATCAAGCCTTTTGGTGCCAGAAGATATTTTTGGTTTTCAAGGGGGCAAGGGAGGGGGGTTAGAGGAAACTAATGGGCCCCGAAGTGCTTGTTTTCTGGGTAATTCTGGCTCCTCTGTTTCAACTTCTCTCCCAGAGGAGATGCTGCAGCCACACTTTAGGGCTTGGGAAGAGGTTACATCAACAGCAGCTGGGCCGCTCCGGCCTTGAGCTCCGAATGAGACCCACCAGACCCCAATGTCACAGCCTGTGGACACCCTGGGGCTGCCCTGCTGCCCCCACACCCCCAGCCGCATGGTGCCCGCGACTGCCTGGGACACTCCTGCCGTCCTGGCAACCTGGCACCGTCTTCTGTATGGACCCAGAGGGAAATCCATAAATAGCCACACACACACACAGACCCAGGAGAGGGAGGGCCTCTCAGAGGCTTTGGGGGTGGGGCGTTAGAGGAGGAACTGTAGCCCAGTGACGGTGACATGTCCCGCATCACGTCACGTCTCCCTGCTCAGGTCTCTGCTAAACCCACCTGCTTAACACAGCACAGCTCTGCTGGACGGTTTAATCCACTTCCCGGGGTCCCCTCACCACCCCCCACCCACTGCCCAACCATCACCAGGACCCCACCCTCCTCTTTAGGAAATGCTGTTCCCTCAGCAGGACTTCTGGATCCTGCTGCCCTCTGGCCCCTCCCCACACCCCAGGAAGTGGTTCCATCCTGGCTCATCCCTCCCCCGGGGCCTCTCCTGACAGCAAATGCCAACCCTGATCACGGGTGACCCTGGGCAGCGTCACAGGGACACACAGGGCAAAGAGCCACCCTCCTGGCTTCATAACTAACTACCCGCTTCGGCCTGATTAAGGCCTCACCCTGCAGACTTAGTTCCTCCCTCAGGAGAGATGCAAACAGGCCACGCAGCCCACCTGACTCCGGGTTGGAGGCACTCAGATGCCATCCCTCCTTTTCTAGAATCACACTGTGTGTGTGGGCAGGGGTGTGTGGTGGGGAGCAGTGCTCCGGGCAGAGTCCGAGATCTCTTAAACTGGACCTCTGCTTTGGTTTTGCTGTTTCTTAAGCCCGAGACGCTCCTCCACCTGCCACCCTGGCCTGTCACATCCTCCTGCTGGGGGCAGGGATGCTGACTGGGAGGGGCCACAGGAGACACTCCTGGAAGCGTCTGTATCAGCGCATCCAACAGGTAGAACACAAGCCTCGTAGGTAGTTTAGATCTTCTAGTAGCCACATGTAAAAGGAAGTCAGTGGAATTAATTTTGCTAATGTTTTATTTAACCCAGTATATCTAAACGATTATCATTTCAGAGTGTAATCAATGTAAGTTATTATTAATGAGCTATTTACAGTCTTTCTTCATACCAATAGTGTTCAAAACCCTGTGTGCCGGTCTCAGCTCAGACCACCCACTTTTCTTTTTTTAGTAACTGTGTGCACTCCATATTAGTTTGTATGAGTTTCAGGTGTGCAGCATCGTGGGTAGACAATCATGTACTTTACAGTGTTCCCCCCAGTATTTCCAGCACTCACCTGGCACCATACATAGTTATTACAGTATCATTGACTATGTTCCCTCTGCTGTACTTCATGTCCTATGACTATTTTGAAACTACCAATCTGTACTCCTCAATCCCTCCATCTTTTCACCCAGTGCCCTAAATTCCTGGTCCCCAAACCACCCTTTTCTAAAAATATATTTTTGTATTGATTTCAGAGAGGAAGGGAGAGATAGAAACATCAATGATGAGAAAGAATCGTTGATTGGCTGCCTCCTGCACACCCCACACTGGGGATTAAGCTTGCAGCCCGGGCATGTCCCCTGACCGGGAATCGAACCACCACCCCCTGGTTCATAGGTTGACGCGAAACCACTGAGCCACACGGGCCGAGCTTGACCACCCATTTTTCAGAGCTCAGTTCCCACATGTAGCTACGGTATCAGACAGCACAGTTTTCTGCCTTGATCTGGGTTGTAGCCAACAGGTATAGACACTGTAAGAATTTGTCTAACTGTATGCTAGAGACTGGTGCATTTCACTGTGAGTAAGCTACATGTTCACTAAAAGGGTTCTTAAAATCCTGTTCAGAGTTCTGCTCGAATGCACCCTCTGGCTCATCCCTCCCCCAGGCCTCTAAACCACCCTGGGCTGGGATTAGCTACTGCCCTCACATTGTGTTTCTGTGAGCTTCACTCCAGTGTTGTCCTACAGCTGGTTGTTTCTATCTATGTTTAACCCATCCTATATAATAAAAGCCTAATATGCAAATCAACTGACTGGCGGAATGACCTTCCTGAACGACCAGTGGGCGAGGGTGGGGCCTTGGGGCCACGAGGCAGCCAGGGCTGTGAAGGCCTACCCTTGCATGAATTTTGTGCATCTGGCCTCTAGTTTTGTTGTAAGCACCGAAAGGTGAAGAGTTCATTCATTTTTAACACCCTCGGGAGCCACTGGCTTCCTGGATGCTAAATTAAGTCAGCAGGTTGCATTGAGCCCCCAGTGGTTCTCAACCCCTCTCCATGGGGCTGCAGAATCAGCTGACCATTTGATTCTGTTTTCAGTCCTAGTCCAGAGGTTGATAAAAGAGAGGAAGAGGAGAAGGAAGATGGCATGGGGCCTTGTCCGCCAGTCACCCCGAAGAACTGCCTTGCTCCCCGGGGCATCAGCGTCCTGGAGAAACTCGTCAAAACGTGCCCGGTGTGGCTGCAGCTGGGCCTGGGCCGGGCTGAGGCGGCCAGGATCCTGCACCGAGAGGCGGCCGGGGTGAGTCGGGGGTCTCTTCATCTCATAGTCAGTGGTGCAGGTACAGCTATAGGGAGCTGCACATTAGCTTTCCTTGCTTATGTTTATTAGCTTCCCAACCGGGGTGATTTTTCCAGAGCTCAGGCGTGAGTGGGGCCTGGTGGGAGGGCTGGTTTCTGTTTGGAGAACAGGTGTCCCCGCTGGAGCGCAGGGCAAGTGTGACTGGGTGGGCCCTCTGGGCATTTGGGCACCGGAGGCAGATCTGACTCTTCGAGAACTGAGCCCGGTGTCTGGGGACTAGAGAGAACCAGAACCGGACAGACCTGAGAAATCACTTTACACCCCGAATTTACACATGAAAATAGGGGCTGTGCGATGGGGCCACAAGATTTCTTTGGAATCAGGCTCTGTGAGTTGAGCAAATGCTCACATTTGCTGAGTCTCACTTTCCCCCTTTGAAATGGAGCCGTGAATAGCACTTTCCTCCCAGTAGGGTAAGCCCCACACGGGGAGAGGGGCCGGTGGGCAGGAAGGGTGAGTCAGCGCTCACCCATGCCACCTCCACCCACCCCACGCAGTTTTTCTTACGTACCCCTTCCCTTCTAAAAAAGAAGGTACAGTTAATTTGTTCAATTATAAAAGGGATATGCATGTTCACTGCAAAAAATAAAAATAAAACTGGACAAAAGTGATAAAATAAGAAGTCTCTTATAAAGTTCTTTGCCACCAGTTTTTTTTTCAACTAACCCAGTTCCTACAAGTCTTTTATGCTTGTATTTTTTTAATGACATGAAATTCAGTGAACATAAAAGCAGCCATTTCCAAATGCACAATTTAACACATTCACAATGTTGTGTAGCCACCACCTCTATCTAGTTCCAAAACACTGCCTCACCCCAAGATGAACCCCTTAGCCCTTAAGCAGCCAGTCACTTCCCAATCCTCCCTCCCCAGGCCCCGGCAACCACCAGTCTGCTCACAGAAGTCACTTTTGCTAGAAGTGCAAGTGTTGCTCTCCAGCCCTTTTCCATGGAGAGTCTCACATCGATGCCAGCTCGTGTTCACTAAGTACTTCCTGTTCCAGGCAGTCGTCTAAGTCCTTCCCGTGAATCAGTACAGTTTATCCTCGCAGCGACCCTCTGGGGCAGGAAGGACTATTCTGCCCATTTTACAGATGAGGTAACTGAGATACAAAGTTGAGTGACTTCCCCCGGGTGACACAGGGAGTGAGGCCCCCGCTGGAACTTGAACCCCGGCAGTCTGGGTGCTCCGGGGCTGTATAGTACACACACGTTTTATGTGACGCAGACGGAATCGTATCTTTCAGCCATTGGGCACTTTTGTGGTCCTCACCTTCTGTGTCGTCTGTGATGCTGCACTGTGTCCGGGGACTAGACCACGCTCATTAATTCATGGGCTGGGTGGTCAGTGGACTCCTTCTCACTTTGGACGAGATAAAACCCATCGGGTTGGCAGTGGTACCTGGAAATAGAAATGACTGCCACGTATGGGGCCTCCAGCAAAGTCCCTGAGTTGGAGCAGATGCGCCTTCTGTTCCCTGCTCTGCCCTTCCACCCCACTCTGCCCCAGGGGCTGCTGTATTTTCCAGCAGAAGCAAAGCCCTAAACTCATGCTCTGCATAAAAGACTGGCCAACTTTACCCAACGCTGCATTCGCCTGATCTCATTCATCCTCACAGATCTGTCTCTGGTATCAGTGTCCCCATCCCCAGGGGGGAAATGGAGGCACAGAGATTTGGGCCACTGGCCTGAGCTCACAGCTAGAAGAGCAGAGCCTGCAGGGCATGGCCTTCAGGGATGCTGGGAAGACCCTTTGCTGCATAATGTCAGCCCCACGGAACTGTCCAACCCCCCCCCCAACCCCCCCGCCCAAGTGCAATGCCTTCAGTGTTTTTAAAGATACAGATATTGTGTAGGTGGTCCTCAGGCTGTGAGCGCTCATAGGGTCTTCTAAGACCACCTGGACCCACTCCTCCTGGCACCAGTGAGAGACGGTGCTTCACCCAGCCTGAGGCCAGTGGTCAGGAGAATGGAGATCCAGGCCCTTTTTGCCCAAATATCTATGTGACCTTGACCATGTCCACCCCTTTCACCACTCCCCTTCTCCCCTCCCTGCAGCCTGCTTCTCTCTGATAAGGTGGGAACATATCGGCCCAATTTTTATTTTATGTGTGTGTGTGTGTGTATATGGAGAAACAAGGCAATCAAAAAGCCACCTTTATTCATCCTACACCCAAATGTGTGTTTGTTTTATTTTTAGGAGTGTTAGATTTATAGAAAAGTTGCTAAGGGAGTGTAGAGGGTTCCCTTATAGATCCCTCACCCGGTTTCTCTTGTTGACGTCTAACATTATTCAATGTCACAATGAATGAACCAAGACTGATACATCCGTGTCAACGAAAGCCCACAGTTTATTCAGATCCCCTTAGCTTTTGCCTAATATCCTTGTTCTGCGCCAGGATCCCTTCCAGGGCACCATGTCCTCGCCGTGTCTCCTTGTCATCATGTCGCATGGCTGTGACAGGTTCTCAGACTTGGTTTTTGATGACCTTGACGGTTTTGAGGAGCACTGGTCGGACATTTTGTAGAATGCCCCTCAGCGGCGAGTCGTCCGATGGTTAGACTGGGGTTATTCTCATCACATCATCTCAAGGGCACATTGTAGCAACATGATTCGTCACTGTTGATGTTGACCTTGGTCACCCGGCTAAGACCATTATTTGTCACTTCCTCCACGGTAAGGTTGCTCCTCTCCCCCTTCCATACTGTCCTCTTCAGAAGGAAGTCACTGTGCACAGCCCACGCGTAGGAAAAAGTCATACTCCACCTCTTTGATTAGCCACATAAATTATTTGCAATTCTTCTGCATAAGACATGTGAATCTTCTTCCCCATTTACTTATTTATTCAGTCATTGACTTATACCAATATGGACTCTGGACATTTATTTTATGCTGGGGGTTACAATCCAATACTACTTTATTTTGTTGCTCAAATTACTCCAGCGTTGGCCACCAGGAGTCTCTCTGTTGGCTCCTGTGTCCCTTGGACTTGCCCCCTTGTGTATGGGTTTTGTTTGTTTGCTCATTAGTTTTTTGGAGCCCTCCCTTACTTTCCGTCACTACCAGATGCTCCAGGCTTATCTTGTGTTTTCTTGTGTGTTCTTGTTAATCCTTACCCAAGGATATTTTTCCATTGATTTTCTTTTCTTTTCTTTTTTTATTGAGAGAATGGAAGGGAGGGGGATAGAGAGAAACATCCATGTAAGAGAGACACATTGATTGGTTGCCTCCCGCACGTGCCTGGACCAGGGCCGGGGATCGAGCCTGCAACCCAGGTATGTGCCCTTGACCAGAATTGAACCTGGGACCCTTTAGTCCTCAGGCCAATGTTCTATCCACTGAGCCAAACCAGCCAGGGCTCCCCCTGCAGGGGTCGTTCAGGAGGCAGCCGATCAATGATCCTCCCTCCTCAAATATGTTTCTATCCTATCTCTCCCTTTATCTCTGAAACCAATAAAAATATATTTTTAAAAAACTACCACATCTCAGCCTCAGCCTTAGAAATGCTGATTCTTTGGTTTGGAATGGGGCTCAGGCATCAGTGGGCTTTAAAAGCTCCCCAGGTGGTTCTGTTGGGCAGCCAGGATTGAGAAAGCCCACTCCATGCTATGATACAACTACAGCGTCAGCCATGGGAAGGTGGGCCACATGCATCCAGAGTGGGCTCCGGCCACTGGATCACCGGCCTCCACAGGCATGGAAGCCCCTGCACCCGTCGCCACTGGAAGACTAGCCACTCCGTTCCTGCCCTGATGGGCCTGATTGGAAAATCTCCCTGAGCAACTGGAAAATAGTCCCAAAATAACGAAAGTGGAAACGCAGACAGCTCGGGATGGTCCAGGCCAAAGCGGCAAGTGAACACAAAACCATTTAGAGTGTTGGGTTTTCATACGTTTGTGTGGAGAGGAGGAGGGGCGCAGTGGCTGCAGACTTCTCTCACTAAGCATCCCTGTGCCAGCTGTTACTGAAATCAGCTGGTTCCTCCAACCCCCATTGGCAAAGGTAGACAGGGAGGGGCTTCCGGGACCCTCTGACCCTGCCTCTGGCACTGCAGTCATTTACCTGTGAAACTAAACTCACCTTTGCGAAAGCCTCTCGGGGTCTGGGAAGGACCCCAGGTCACTATGCTGGGACAGGACCTGGGGTGGGGAGTATCCGACCCATGGGCCTTACCGCAAAATCCTCGTAGAGGGAACAGAGGAGTCTGAAGCTGCATGTTTATCTACCCCATGGCTATGTCACTGCCTTCTGTTGCTTAACAAACTGCTCCAAAATTCAGTGACTTAAAACAGTCACCTTTGGATTTGCTCACAATTCTGTGGGTCAGCAGTTTGGGCTGAGTTCTGCTGAGCGGTTCTTCTGCCGATCTCTCCCGGCGTCAGCATGCAGCCACATCGTCTGGCAGTGTGACGAGCTGGCTGGCCTGAGATGACCTCACTCACATGTCCAGCGGTTGTGCCTGCTGTGGGCTGGGCCAGCAGACTCCAGCAGGCTCACTCAGGTGTCTTTACCTGGCTGTGGTCCGAGTTCTGAGCGTGGAAATTGACATGCCTCTGAGGCCTGGGCTCAGAACACCACAGCGTCACTCCTGCTGCATTCTTTTAGTCCAGGCAAGGCCCAGGGCCACCCTGCCAGGTCTGGGGAAATAGACGTGCCCTCTGGATGAGAGAAGCTGCGAAGAATCTGTGGCCATTTTTAATCTGCCACTTCGTGAATGGTCTTTGAGTCCTTTTTCTATCTCTTTGTTTGGATAAAGATTCATCGTTATCATCCTCTTTTCAATAATTATTTATCAAATGAGATGATGCATATAAAAATGCCTATAAAAATCTTAGCATGTGGTTTAGTGCTCGGTGAATGCTAGCAGTTTATCTGAATAAGTATTATAATTTAAGTGCATACTCTGTGCCAGGCATTTCACATACACAATCAGCACTCCTCACAGCAACTCTGAAAGACAGACATGATTACTTTCATGGGCAGATGAGGAAACTGAGGCCCAGAGAAGTAAAAGGGACTCACCCACAGACCCATAGCTAGTGAGTGGCAGGGCTGGGATTCTAGTCGCACTGCACCTCCCAACAGCTACCTGCAGTGGGTAGAGAAAGAGAAGCAACGGGGGCTGGGAGAATTTGCACACGGAACCCCCAAGGGTGTTGGAGGAAGAGCTCTGGGTGGCCCACCCAGCACGTTTGCCCGCTCTGTGGGAAGCATCTCCTTAGAGGATAAGCAGTGGGCACTCGGTGAAGGTGGGGCCCAGGGGAGCTCACACAGGTGGTCTCCCTCCTCGCAATGACCTTGGCTGCACTCCCCGGGTGTAAGCCCAGGAGACTCGCCGGAGCTTAGAATGCTTTGCAGGGGTCACTGCTCTGGCTTGTCTCCCGGTTTGCTGCACAGGAACACAGTTTTGATGCCGCGGTTGCTTCCCAGAAGCGGCCCTGTGACTAGCTGCGCAGCTAAACCTCCCTGAAGGGGAAGGAGGAACAGGCCGTCTTATTCCAAAGGACAGTGGCCAGGGCAGACCATCGGCTGGGGTTCTGCCCACAGCGGGCACCTGTGAGGGCCCCTCCCCACCTGCCCCCACTAACTCGCAGCCTCTTATACCCGCAGCCCCCTTCCCCCAGTGCCTATCTTGGCTCTTCAGAGGAGAACCCCAGGCCTTGGCCATGGCAGAGGAGGTGCTATGTGAGGCTGTAGCCATACGGACAGAGGTGGGAGTTCGGGTTCAGAGCTGAGGGGCTTTTCAGAGACCAGCCTGGGGAGCTTTCCACCCTTCACACCACCCCCGAGGAAGTAGATAACACAGGTGGTGGCAAGAGATAAGCGAGATGCTCACGGTGACACCTGGGCCTGCATCCTGTGTCTGCACTTCCTGTCCACATGGCCTTGGGTTTCTTTGATCTGTCTGTGCTCCACATCTTCATCCATCAGAGGGAACAGTAACAGTACCAACGCCATAGGGCTGCGGTGAGAACTGGGTGATGCCCGGTGTGAGGTGCCTGGGCCGGAGCGCAGGTCTTAGCCGCTCTTTTAACTTGTGGCTCCATACCACCGACTGGACTGCTCTCTCCAGGAAACCCCTCCTTCTTCTTTGCTCTTCTTTGCACAGTAAACACGTGTGGTTCTAGATGGAGCCTGGGACTGGGAGCCTGAAGGACAAAGCCCAGCAGCAGGGTGGGGGGTGCGGTTGTCTGTGGAGACCCCCTTGTTCCGTGGGGCATGTTCCTGTGCAGTATCTCAGTTACTTCTTCCAACCCGGAGAGCTTTGACTTCCTTCCTTGCTTCTGTAGGTGATCTTCGGTGTTAGTAACCCCATTTGCAGACCAGAACGCTGAGGCTCAGGGAAGCCACGGAATTTCCCAGGCCCCCAGAACTTGTAGCTGGCTGCTCCCCTGGCTGGTCGCTGACAAGCCCTCATGCAAGCCCCCAGGCCTCTCCTGGTGGATCTGGGCCCATCAGCCTCCCTGCACACCAATGTGTCACCAAGCGGGGGCTCATCTGAAGTTCAGGGTCCAGAGGTCTATTAGGGGGCAGGGAGGCTGCAGTTCCAACCCCCTTTGAAACTCAGGGCCCACCAGGAGTCACCTGTTAGCTTAAACTCATGTGCGGTAGCGAGGGGCTATTTGTGAACAACAGAAGACACTCCTGTCCTATCACTCAGGAAATTCCAGGGGTTTCTGAAGCTTTGCCAGGAGAGGGGGACAAAGGCCAGATGTATTTTCGTAAATCACCCCCACGCTCGCTCGTTCTCACACACACACCCTCTCGCCTGCTCCCTCGCTCACTGCTGGTTCCCACTTGGTCCTCTGAGGAAGAGGCAGCATGACCTCTTTTCTCTGAAAGACCGCGTGCTGCTGGGGTCAGCTCGGAGCAAGGCCAGGTGTGCTGGGAGCCCAGCGTCGTCCCGGCATCTGGGAGTGAGCCGCCTGCCTGCTGGGTCCCCTGGGGAGGGCCCCACCAGGGCGGGCCCCTTTGCAGGCAGCATCCCGCCTGCTCCTCATTTCTGCCCCTGGAAGCCTCCCTCCCATCCTCCTCTGTCCGCTCCGAGTTCTCACGCCCTCTGCATGCTCCAGGAGAGGGGCTGGTAAACGCATTGCCAGCCCCGTTCAGTGACTAAGGGGTTCTTGGTGTCACTGCTCCCCAGGGGATGGGCACCCGCAGGGAGAGCACAACCTTCAGGCAAGGGCACCCTCTGGGCTGGGCGGAGGGTAGTGCGGTGCTCGGGATCCAGAAGCTAAGGCCTGAGCTCAGATCCAGGCCCAGCACTTACGCACCTGTGGCCTTGGGCATGATTAATTCCCCCGGTTTCCTCCCCTGTACAATGGGGATACTAATAGCACCCACCCCCACGGTGTCAGTAAGAGAATTAACGGAGACCATGGAAAATAAGGAACTGGCGATAGGGCTTGGGGCGGAGGAGGGAGGCAATATGAATTAGCTGTTTCTATCAATAGTAACGATCTATAATAATAAAAGTGTAACATGCTAATTAGACCGGATGTCCTTCCGGAGGAAGCCCGGGTCCCAGGTGCCAGAGGGAAGCTGGTGCCGGCACCTGGGGGAAGGAAGACCTACTTTTGCATGAATTTTGTGCACCTGGCCTCTAGTATTATTGTAATGATTCATTAACAGTTATAGCAACATTGTATGAATAACAAAGAAATATGATCATAATAATAGTAACAGTAACCACGGCAGAGAATTTGGAGCATCACCGGGGGCTGGTAGGACAGTGGGCCTTGGTGAGGAAAGGGGGGGGAAGGGCCATCTCGGTGGTCCTCCAGAGCCCCTCATGTGTGGGCCACGTCTCAGAGCTGTCCCAGCCCCCTCCCCAGGGCCCCCCACCTCACCTTCCCTCTGCAACTTTGGCGGGACTCCTGGTCTTCCCAGCTCTAGCCCGGGTGCGTGGGGCCTGACAGAGGGAAGGTTCGACCTGGGTGGGATGCAGGGGGCGGGAATGGGGGCTCAGTGACTAAGTCCTTTCTCAGGGAAGGAAGGAATGACCTTCCTTGGCCGAGGACACCCAGCCCCACTCCTCGGGGGAGGCTGTGCCCCTGGAGGCTGGGGATATTCTAGAAGGTGTCAGTCATCACCTGGAAGGAGGGCTGAGCTCGGGTAGGGCTAAAAAGGACATTTGAAACCACAGAGTTTGTGAATGAAGCAGGGACCCCTCCCCAGGATGCCGTGGGAAGTGCAGCCCCTTCATTGAGCAGAAGCTCTGCAGAAGCAGAAGCGAGGTGGGGATGGGGGCTCTGTAAATGCCAGCTCTGGTTTAGATTCTGGTGACGCTCGGTTACTAGAGAGAGACGCATCCTCCAGGCTGAGAGGCAGCGTCTCATTCGACCCCAGCAAACCCCCAGGAGGAGAGAAGACAGGGCCCACCCAGTGCACCAGGCCCAGAGGGGTATTTGCTCAGTCATCACAGCAGCCAGAGGAGAGGGGTCCCGTCAGGACCCGCGAGTGCCTCTGTTTCTTCATCTGTAAAATGGGGAGAACAACACAGCTCACGTCAGAGGGCTATTGATAGGAAGGAGCCAGTGAATGTATGCAAAGTATTGATAACAGTTCCTGTCGCAGAGACAGCTCTATGGTAATTATTAGCTATTTTTATTTCTCTGGGGAAAGTAGTGTGAATTGACCCATATCTGCGACCGCTACCATCGGCCTCCCCAGGGTGTATATGCTGTGTGACTTGTGGGGACAAGTTGAAATCCAACCCGACTCCCGAACTTTAGAACTTTTCTAAGTGTGGATTCTGGACCACCACCCAGGTCAGACTCAGCTGATTCCGAACACACACCCCCAACCGAACCAGCCTCTCTGAGGTGGGACATGGGACGCTGCAGGTTCAACTCCCCTTGCCTAACTCTGTCTACAGCACAGAATTCTTTGGGAAACGTCGATTTAGTTGAACCCCGCTCTGTGGGCAAATGAGAAATTGAGATGCAGGAGCCAGGGGTCATGGGCTGGGTGACGCGTGGCTCGTTGGCCAGAATCCCCCATTCTCCTGAGAGATGCTTGACTGTCCACCCTGCCTCCTTGTTTCTGGAACATTCCAGATGACTTCCATCTCTCTGTTGTCCTTCAAACCTCCCCCCACACATTGGACTCACGCAGCCCCTTCTCTATTGCAGACATTCCTGGTGCGCAGGGACAGCTGCTCGAAGCGCCTGGTGCTCTGTGTCCACTTCCCTTCCCTGAACGCGGGCTCGTCCGAGGTGCTCGAGTACACCGTCAAAGAAGAAAAATCGAGTGAGTACCGTCCTTCCGCTCTGGCCTCCGACCACAGCAGCAGATGCTGCAACCCTAACCAGAACCCCC